ACATTAATGTAATAGTGTAAACGATTATATGAAAAATTTGTTACAAAACAATCAATGAACCGAAACGTATACTGAGCTCATTATTCAGGTTTTCACCGCTCGTATACGGCCAAACAAATCATAAATCACGAGTAACATCCTACCAGTCGCTTGCGTGACTCCAAACGTGTCCACAACGATAGCACGTCTATATAATACTTTAAAAGCATATCAATGGGATTGATATTACTAACACGGCTTTTTTTATGTAAACATTATTACCAATAATTTAAAAAGTTCGATTCCCGGACCAGGTCAAAATTTTAAAGGGTTTTTCTGAGAGGAAAAATAGGCTAAGTTACTCCTTATAAAGACAGCTACATGGTAGTAAAATATTATCAAAATCGGTTCAACCGTTTAGAAGATTACCCGGAACAAATAGACAGATAGACACAGACAAAAAAAAACTGGTTTTTACGCATAGGTATCGTGCAAATAACCTTGTGAGCATGAAAAAATTAGTTATTATTTTATAAATATAAATATATTTTATAAAAGCTATTATTTCGACATTACAAACAGACACTTCTATTTCATTTATTTGTATAGAGTATAGATCAAATTTAGCACAATATATAATAAATGATACACTGCTGACAGTTTCGTAACGCGTAAACTGAACTTTTATGAAATATATTGCAGGTCATTTGTGTGTGTCGTGGTCGGATCTATAGCATTAGATGACTAAGAAATTTACAACTCTGTATTCAATATAGCTATATATGAAGATTTATAGGTAATTACATGGTATATCATGAGTTGTTTTAACTAAAACCCCAATCTACAAACAACCTACTTTGCGTCAGATGTCTTAGCATGAAAATTGAGGTAATGTAAACCAGTCACAACCATCCACGGAGTCGTTAAAGTTTGCATTACCCGGGGCACATGGATGGACCCACCTTCCTACGGCCTATACACCGCAAGTATATATTTATAAAAAAAAACTGTATATTTGTGAAGTTGAACCCTTCTTTAAAATCAAAGTAGTGCTGTATAGAAAGATTCTAGTCCTAACATAAAAAAACGATTGTCGACTGACATATGTGCGTCAACACGACCCCACGTCTCTTAGAACGGAACCTTGTACCTCCCATTACTTGAATTAAATTACATGACACGCTAGACGAGACGTATTCATGTCCATCATACAATTTATATATGATTCACAATTTATCCACGTACTTACATAATACTTGGATACTGCTCATAACATTATAAGCAAAGCTGTTCAATACTATGTTAACACGTTTTGAACGATTAACATAGCGTGTCACCCATGTTATATAACATATATGCCGGCTGCTGTTTACTCTGATACCAGCCAGATTTTCTAAACCAAGTTGTGTATCAAACATCAAAATAATTATAAAGTAATTACAAGGTAAATATGATTTCATCTGTATACATTTCATATCAGAGAATCAAAGTTAATGCTCCGTGTAATAAAAAGTGCGGTAGCTAGTTTATGTTTCAAAATGATTATATTTTTTTATTGCTCCTACATAGGTACGTATATATACATACATATATAATTATGTACTTTCTTTGCTGAAAATTCCTTTTGGTCTTCGGTCTCGGCAGGTGATGGCCAAGAGTAAGTGGAGTTTCCACGAAAAACCACCCTGACGACTAGTCTCAGGCGCCCTACTCTGGGTAGGAGCCGGACCATGTGATTTCAGGTCCCTCCCGAATCGACGACACGCCTAGCCAGGCCCTATCGTGCAGAAGTTATTTTATTAATCTTGTTATTGTTTTCCTACTAATGAACTACTAAAGCCTGCCTGATTTGTCGAACGTTAAAAAGTGTTTAATACCTATTGATATTGACCATTACCTATTGATCACCTTAATTCACAAACGAATACCTACTTATACATACCTACATCTAATTTAATCGTGCAAGATTAAAAAGTTTTGTTTAATTATGTTTGCACACCACTACTACACTTCAAGTCAGATTAATCTAAAAGTGGCGCGCGCTGCTTAATACTGCTACATACAAGGTACCTAGTCTTTGATAAAATGTACGGAACTTCGATTAATTATGGTACATAATGACCGAAGGACCGAGAACGCTTTTTAGTTATTGTCATATGGCATTTTCATTAAAGTGCACGATTGTAGCAAGCGTAGGGAAGGCGAACGTGTCCTTATTAAAGCCTTCTTAGGAAGATGAGCTTTCCTTATACTTCAACAACTTGTCAACAAAGCTTAATGTTTCCATTTTTATTAAATTACGTGTTCTATGATATCCATACTTTTATTATAAATGTGAAAGAAAGTTTGTTTGTTACGCTCTCCTCAAGCACTAAACCGATTTTAAAAACTCTTACACCTATGGAAAGCTACATTATCAGCGAGTAACATAGGCTACTTTTTACCGCGATAACCGACATACACATGGATCGAGCCGCCAGTCAAAATTAGTGTCTGTATATTTACCTATATGTTTATGAATCTAACCCGATGACGGTAGCCGGTAACTACTGCAAGAGCAGAAACAACATATTCTGACAAAACTCTGTTTGACATAGGTACTATGCAAAATTACACATCTTATCTATTTATGTCTGTGGCGATCAATAGGTTAATAACGCCGCTCTAATATTTCATTTAACCGTATAAGTCCAACCAACTCAACTTAACTCTGCTAGTTTGATGGCACATTGTACTCTAATTCACTCGAGTATTTTTGCCGTATTATTATATTAAACGCAAGACCACTCAACTCTATTACCCTATAACGACAAGGACACATGATAGAAAAATACTTTAGGACAAGTATACGAAAGTAAAATCCCGGTCCGGGATAGGCAGTGACGAAAGAACTTGCGCTTTTTCTATATTCATTAGACCACCTGTTCACGCTCGCAGGTTCCGGGTGCATTTAACTTAGTTATTATTACGTTTAATGCCGATATGAAGTAGAATACGTGTTTCGTGGCTCTCCTGCACACGATAACTAGATGAAAAAAGGATCTCGAATTGTTTCGCAACTCGTCTGAACTGTAGGGGGAGCAAAACTCAAAACCATAAGTCAAGCATCACTGCCTCTAACACCCTTCGGATCTCGGATCTGATTTGCAGACATGATCTCTGCGTCGATCTACTCAGTCTTAGCAATATGTATTTTTGCAATTGCAAACTAATGCCAAATTTACTTACTTGTCCACTGTGTCTCTCTAATGTGTACTGCACTGTAGAGCTGTGGAGAGCAACGGACAATGCCGTAGCCGTGGCCGAATTTTGGGAGGACAAAATTTAGGGGTGTTCACCAGTTAACACGAAAAAGAAGAAGTTTTAGCGAAATCGTAACAACACAATTAGGCAGTTTGTGCTGATTAATCTCCCTAGAAAATATTATGTGTAACTTTATATCCAGTAAAATATAATAAATACTTCTTTTATATTGTTTATGTATATTATGTACCCTATTACTCAAAAATAACTAGGCCCACTTAGATTTAATGATCAGGATCTAATGTTTCATTTGCGACCGGCTCGATTCGTTGACGTTACATAGATACGACCTTCAAACCTTCAAGAAAAGAGCGTACTCCTTCCTAAAAGGCCGGCAACGCGTTTGTGACTCAGGAGTCACACAAACGGCCTTTTAGGAAGGAGGAGGTTTAGAACTCAGGAGTTGCAGACGTTAATGGGCGACGATGGCCACTTTCCATCAGGTGACCCGTCTGCTCGTCTGCCCCCTCTAACATAAAAAAAAACTAGAGAAATTGAAATGAAGTATTAAAATGATAAACATACCACTACATTTGGCAATTGAACACTTTTATGTGTGACTTGTATCTAGAATGAGAATAAGAGAAGACCATAAAATTACTCAATAAAAAGTATTTTACAGGTTGTGATTTCATAGTGATAACTGTAATAAAGTTTCTGAGCTGATATTAAAAGTATGTGGATAAATCTAACTATTCAAATCCCGGCATCAGAAAAAGTTCTCTCTCTTCTCTAAACTCTAAAAAGTGATGAGCAGTTCTTATTAGACTCTAATTTAGATAATTATCACCTCTGAATGTGAAAGAACAGTCTTAGTATAACCTATTATGATTTAGACATATTGAAATAAGTTAAACAGTTTTCCGAAAATAATTTTATAAATCATTTTTTTACTAAATATTCATTGTTCCGTTAACAGTATGGAGTATAGTAAATAATAAAACAAAGTCAAGGGTAGAGTGCAGGGAAATAAACAAAACTAATAGAAAATACCAGTGCGATAATACAAAAAAAGAAACAGCATTCTAGTAATTCAATTAATGTTTTTTTTTTCAAAAAGTATCACTTCTACTGATCATCCTTTTTATGAATTTTAAATGATAATAAATATCTGGTTATTCTTTATTTAAATTAGTTTGTCAATAATCTACTGTTGTTCACAGACATACAATCAGTATGATTAATGACAGTGTGTAAATGGTAAAATAGTTGGTAGTACTATAATGTCATAAATTGTTTACTTAAATTAATTGTATGCATCATTAGTAACTGAACATACTCTACAAATATTTATGTACATGATATAATAAGATCAATCAAGATCACACCAACATATATCAGTTCACAATATACTTTATTTTACAATGAAAATATGTATTTTTTTGTAAACTAATCTATATAATTAATTGATCAATTGCACATCTATACTACTAAATTTTTTTTTATCTAACTTGTATATTTGTGTACGTAATTAAGACAAGTATTAAGAAGAAAAAGAAAAGCTTCAAAAGTTAAAAGCGTTTAGTAGTAGCGTTTTAGTTTAAAATATTTTGTAGACTTCAAAAACACACAAATTCACTGTCTAATTTTATTTAATAATTTAATAATATTTTTTTGATTTTTGTGTGTCTACATTTCAAGCTTCAGTTACGAGTCCGACTAAAGGTGCCGGAATAAAAATATTACTTTTCTATTTATAGTCGTTCAAAAGTACTTACCGTTGTTGGAATATAAGCCTTGTTGGATGTGGCCTTCTCATTCATCCACTTCACGGTCTTGAGCTTATCCCACGGAAGATCATAGTGGAAATATATCTTACTTTCATTAAACTTAGATTTAAATTTCATTATTATCACAGAAAACAAGCTTATAACGTCACCCATTTATACGTTATATCTGAATGGGAGCTAAATGCTAAATGGTCATGAGACCAACAACCACAAGCTTAATCTTATAATGTTGTTAACATTCATGTTAGTAATTCAATTAACATTTTTTTGCTTGAAAACACATTTTATTTATCTTTAGATGTAACAACCACCTCGGTCGATGCGATATGACAGAATGAAAATGAATGACAACAGACGTCAATCTGTCATTCAAGACAAGTGTGAATCCGAACGAAGAATGACTGAATGCAAAGCAGCCCGAGCCCACTGCCCAACACAAATTTTATTACCTTGATGAAATTGAAAACTTAGAAAAGTGATAGGAGTAGCTACTTCATGTTGGATTAAATCTAATCTTATTTTCACATTATATAAGTTTTTATATTTCTTTATGCAGATATCACCCACCGGTGGGGTGATTATGTCGAACTCGAACCGACCTAGAACCGCACGCTGTCTTGGGTACCAGTAGCCGCGGAACCAGGTGTACCCTAGAAAGGAAATCCTCCGCCCTCGCTCCGCTATGGAGAACCCTGGCTGTTTAAAAAAAATACTCTAAAACGGTTTCCACACTACAATTTATTACCGTATTTCTGGTCCGAAACTAGATTTGCGATTAAATTGGCTTAAGAATTTTCGGTTCCGTTCATGCATAACTAAATGGTCGTTTTCTTTAGATTGGAACTAATTTTATTGTGACTATTACTTAGATTATTAATATGTCGTTTATTATAAGTACCGGCTGAAAGTTCGTCTATTCAATTTTGCTCGATCTAATATGATACGATCAGGTGCCTGACCTGTCTTCGTGGGATTATATTGTATTCGATTAAGTTTCGTTAAGGAGCTAGTCAAATTATGCTGTGTTGGGGATGATAGATCCCATCCTAATAAAAAAAGCCTTGAGAGCCACAGACTAGTAAAAACCAGTGCTGTCGAACTACCTAACGAATTCCCTATTCTCAATTTATTTTTCATTTTTACTGTAAAATTTGTATTATAGCGGGAGATATCAAACTTCGGCACACATGCGCTGGCAAGCTATTCTTTGTTTGGTTTTCACGGAGTGAGGGAGGTAGTTTATTTCACATCAACTCGCTATCGACAGCCATCGAGATTTCAGTGCGGGCCAATCGCAGCGCCCGAATGCGTTCACAGTTACGATCGAGTAGATGTGAAATAAACACTTGGGACTTTGGAGTCCCATGGGGGGGGGGGGGGGGTAATCAAAAGGCGGACACTTGTCTCTTGAGTTACTATAAATAGACCCGTCTGCTCACTTGTACAGTATTTCATAAATAGAAACAAAATTGATGCATAATGGTAACTATTATATATGAGTATTATAGTAGGAACATAGAATCAGGTGTTCCAATTTCAAATATCTTAACAAGTTATTTACCTAATTCTTTAGCTGAGTAATTAATAACACAAGTCTCCCAAAGTACACAGTGAGCAAGGATACTCTAGGAGGACAAGTTATTGGTACAAATTGTTACATATTGGATATCAATGCTGTTATATGTAGTGAGCAAGTTTGAAGTGAGTCAATGACCTAACGAGAGGTTTAATTACAGAACCTAAGATTACTGACCTATATTAGTAACCTTAGTTTCTGCAATTCTTGCGTTCTCTGGGAAAACCTTAGATCATTTTAAATCAATGCCAGATATAGCTCTCTTTAATTAGATCATTTTAGATCAATGCCAGATTTAGGTCTCTAATCATTTCATAAAAGAACAGTTAGAAGCAGCTGGCACCTTTCTGAAATTTTTACAAGATTGTTTACAACCTTGTCTATCAAGTCTTTGTTATTTGCTCTATAACCACTCCACCTCATCTCTTCTTTATAAAGTATGGTACTTCAACTTACTGGATTTATTAGCCTATGATTATGATCCAGTAAGTTGAATAGTTGAGTATATCTAGCATTAGATGATCTGTATGGGTAATGATCAAACATTTTTTGAATGATTGACTATATCATATCATCTTAAAATTTATTAGAAGTAACATAAACAATTTACTTTTATGAAGATTTATATATTTTAAACCTAGTATGACATAATTTAAATGATAGCTTTTATATCTAAAATTAACAATAAATTCCTAAAAATTATTTTCAAATATTTGAAGGAGTCTTTTGATTTCTGCAATTCTTGCAGCCTGTGCTTGCACCGGGATCATGGCTTGAGATACCTCTTCACCCTTCGCCAAGATTGTGTACATACTCTTAATATTATTATCCATTGCATCACATGTTTTACCTACAGCATCTTTATAAACCTCCATGTTCTCGGCCGTCAAAGATGAGTTAGAATGTAAAATGCTTGACAAGTTTTCAATTAAATTATCAACTGACTGAGCAATCCTTTGAGCTTCATATTCCAGGTCATGTAACACTGTAATATCAATTTGTCCAATCTGTGGTGCAAGTATTTGTCTGTAAAGTTTCCCTGAAGGTGTACTGGATCTTGATGCACTGGAACTACCAAAAACAGGTGTTTCACCTCGTTTAGCTATAGGACTAGATAATTTAATTTTAAACTCAAGATCATCAGCAACATAATGAGTCATGTCTCCCTCATACCTAACATGTCCATCCATGTCCAAAGGAAGCTTCTCTTGTTTGCGGTTCTCCGATGGCAGGTCATAAGGTCTCGAGGGTCCAGGCACTCTATCGGGTCCCTCTGTTTGTCCTTGGTCAGAATGGAAAGATATTTCACTATAAGACGCTGTCATCCTGGCTGATATTTCTTCATCACCATCAATATCATTTTGTTTTGAAACATCATTCAGAATATCCTTTTGTTCTCCCAAAGGAGAACTTTGTTGCAAATTTTTGGCCATTACTAATTATGTAGCGATGTTTATAATCGCATTGCTTTCTGTATATTTCTTTTGATTTCTGTAATTTTAACTTATTTCTGTCAAAAATAGTCAAAATAATAATATTTATTTGTCTTGATAATACTTGAATGAGTGAAGTGAGTGAACTAAATGAATGAGCTGTACAAACAGTTGAAAAAAAAATAGTAAAGTCAATAATGTGATAGGTAGGGTCCAGTGACCAGTTATCCACTACAAGTTAGTATATTAAAGTGATAGGTGATTACTATTTTAAAATATTATTACTATTTTAAGTGTACTTTTTAAATTTTATTAAAGTTTATACGAAGAAAAGTTTTGACGAAACCAAATAGATTTGCTTCCTTCTCATACATTTTTTTAAAATTTTTGACAATAATGGTAGCATTGGAGCGAAGTTTCTTACCGCGCTTTTCAACAAGACTTTTTGCCGACAGTTGGTGCGTCGACGCGAAACCGACCAAAAAGCGAAAGGAACTTTGTTCCGATCGGGGTTCCAAAGATCTCTCACGCGTTTTTTTTTATTATTGTTTGGGCACATTTGGATGAAACTAGCCGCAGATACAATTTGCTTATTTTTTTCAAATAATAGATAGGAGTAGATTTAATAATAAAGGTAATTCCACCTCAAATATTTCAATAAAAGAGCTCGCACCTTAATAGTCTGACACGCTAAGTCTGACGTTACAGCCGTTACAGGCTATTAAGGTGTAAGTCTTGTAACTCTTGACTTGCTAGTATAAAGAATAATAATTATTCTTTAGTGACCAAAATCAGGAATAAAATATTTTCTATCTATACATGTTAATGTTATTAAATTATTTGGCATCTGGCACTACTCTGGAATATTGGGATAATGGCAGGTTATCGTTGCTTTCATAAACTGTGTCACAGACACCGACCAGTGGAGCGAAGGTAGTGTCTTACCATTATCTACCTTATCTGCACTTTGCCACCTATATTATAAAAAAATGTGAACCAGACAGCAGCAGTTCATTTGGAACATCAAATAGACGTACACTTGGATCTAATTATTATTCTTAGGATGGCTCTGCGGCAGAGCACGACACACATGAAAACGAATTGAAGTTATCTTTTTACTTTATATTTGTAGCATTTATTGTGGACAAACTGATAAGTAAGCCTGACCGCTAATCAAGCCTGCCAATCGAGGTCGACAATTTAGATTATTATTTCGGTTTTTTTATTTTATTTTTTATGGATTAAAAATTTTGTATTTAGTAGTAATCATGATAATTAAACTTGTTTTTGTTTTATATATGACCGAATATATCATTAAATCAATCGACTTGTTCAGTTTTGTTATTTTGCAACACTTGAATTTTCTGTAGAAAGTGTCTAGTGGACTGCAGTGTAAATTTTAGAAATGTCCGGGTAAACATTTCTATGTAGTTGAGCATTAGCAGCATTAAATTACGTAAGGTATTCTTCACGCGTTTAAAGAGTACCTATAAACTAGAATGCTAACAGCGGTGTATTCGCTCCGGCATTTAAAAAAATGACAAATTTGCGGGAATTTTTGACAGTTGTCAATAAAAACATCGTGAGTTGTGGATTTCATGTGTATCAGATAAATTCATCGATTTTTCGAGGATTTCTTTAATGAAATAGAGTATTATTTTTATAAAAGTGTATTTGAGAAAACGGTGCGTGCGATCGGTGAGTTACTTATGATAAAAGTTGCTGCGAACCGAGTTACATTGTTCGTTTAACATGGCGCTGTGTAACGACATGTGCGAGCGATAACGCTCTTCCTTTGTCGTGTTAGTTTCTATTTTGAGTGTAAAACAGTTGTGTTTGTTACTGATTTACGACTTGAGTGTGTTTGTATCACTGTACGTTTGTTATATAACGATTTTTCGGCTTGTATGTAAAGTTACGACACATCTACTGCAATGGTGAAAACCCGTCGCAGTAATGGAGAAAACGGGGAGGTTGAGGATGGGAATTATGGTTTGAACGACGCGGGCAGCGTATCTGACGAGAAAACAGAAAAGGTGACATTGTATGAGCCTTACATTTGTTGTGCAATTGTTTGGTACCAAGCCTTAATATAAAACACTTAAGTAGACAACTTCCTGTCCCTGTTTCCTTGTAGGTACATAAGTGTGCTATTGCACGTCAATGCATGTGCTTTTAGTGCTTATTAGAAGAATTTTCGTATAATTACCGAGATTTGGGGTTTATATAAAACTTAATACTCCTACTGTTTAAACAATCAAGACATATTCTGACTTAAGCTTGAGGCAAAGTTTGTTAGTGTGTATAGTCAATGATGTCAGCTGTCTACTATGTTATGATTATTGTTATTGTGTATTGTATATTATTTGTAGTGGTATGAATGGCATAATATCCATTGAATATTGACATAATCTGTGTCAATAGTTATGTCTGAATCTATATTTAGTATTTCTGAACAGTAAGTTTGGTTACTCAAGAAATAAATTAACTGTAACTTTAAAATGATTGTTATTTATTTATTTAAATCTTTATGCACAAATGTGGCAAAGGGGGACTTAATGCCGTAGGCATTTTCTACCAGTCGACCTTAGGGCGATGCAGAGCCAAACGTGGTAGATGCACAGAAATTAAAAATGTGATTTATTAAAACTATAGCATATCTAGAATATCATATAACCAGAGTACTTATATAAATAACATTGGAATAATTTTAAAGATAAATTCAATAAGTAATACACATATAATACTAATACACATAATACATAAATATACATACATATACATTTATATACTTAAATACATATAATATAAATTCTAAATGGAGAGAGTATAAAATTAAGATGGATTTGATAGAGTGTTTGAAAAATGTTGCCGCAACAGGTATTTAAATGTTTGCCGAGTTTTTGCCATCCTGATCTCGAGAGCGAGCGCGTTCCATAACAGGACAGATTGTACCAAAAAAGTGGAATGTACGAAGTCAGACCGGTGAGTCGCACAGTGAAGAAGTAGGTTGTCTGAAGATCTAAGATTTTTAGCATGGTTTGCACCTAGATATTGAATTTGAGAAGTGAGGTAGGAAGGAGAATTTGGGGAAAAGAGTAAAGAATATAGGGTAGTTAATGCTCGTGTCTGTCTGCGTTGGCGAATTGGAAGCCATTTCAAGTGAGAGCGATGCTGAGACACGTGATCGTATTTGCGTAAATTAAAAACGAATCGAATGCAATTGTTGAGAAGACGGTTAAGCTTATTGAGCAGATCTGCATTCAGGTCAAAGTAGCACATATCACCATACTCGATTATAGGGAATATAAGAGACTGAACAAGCATTACCTTAGCTTTCGATGGAAGAAAGTTTCTAAGTCTATAGAGGGCCCGCAGCGAACCTGTAACTTTCTGGCACACAGATGCAACTTGTTGTCGCCAGCTCAGAGTTGTTACAATATACACTCCGAGGTCTTTCACACTCTCACAGTATGGAATAACCATGCCATCGTAGGTAAGTGGTGGAAGTGAGGCAAGGTCGAGCTGGCTCATAGCTCGTTTACTCCCGATGACAATAGCCTGACATTTATTTGGATTGACCGATACGCCAAACATATCAGACCAGTGTTTAATGGCTGTCAGGTCACTATTTATAGCCGAAATCGCGGACGATACATTGCACAACTCTGTCTGGTAGTATAGCTGCAAGTCATCAGCGTAGAGATGAAAGGAACACTGAAGTCTTAGGATGATAAGATTGATGAAGATAGAAAACAGAAGAGGTGAAAGAATACCGCCTTGAGGGACGCCAGCAGTAAGATCACACCAGCTAGAGGAAGAATCTTCGACACTGACTGACTGCTGACGATCCCGAAGGTAATAGGAAAACCAGCCCAGTGCATCTTGAGAGACCGAGAAATGGGATAGGACAGCAAGGAGAAGTTCATGACTGACGGTATTGAAGGCATTCGAAAAATCAACCAGTACTAAGGTAGTAACCTTAGTATTCTCCATCCCCACCTTAATATCGCCAGTCACTTTAAGAAGAGCAGATGCCGTGCTATGGCCTGGTCGAAACCCTGACTGAAAGGGACTGAGTACGTTGTTACTGTAAATGAAGTGGGAGAACTGTTTGTGGACGCAGGCCTCTAGCACCTTGGAGAGGAAGGGAAGGATAGAAATTGGACGAAAGTGTGTGGGAAGAGACGGATTGGGAGTTTTAGGTAACGGGCGCACATACGCTCTCCGCCACAGAGAAGGAAATGTGCCAGACATGAGAGAAAAGTTAACAATATGGGAGATAGCGGGAAGGAGGTGGACCAGCAATGTGGTGATCATTTTCCGACTAATGCCATCACAACCAACTGCTTGGGATCTGATAGATTGAATAATCTTCTTAATCTCTCCTTCTGCAACCGGACTGAAGTGAAAAGGGTTTAAGTTAGGGCGCGGTAGACTATTTATGTAAGTACGGGTGTTATGTTCAGATACAATGTCCAACGTGAGAGAGGTGGTAAAATGTTGGTTTAGGGAATCGAGATTTATGGATTGTGGAAAGTCCACATGTCGCGATCTGCCGATACCAAGAGTCCCAAGGAACTTCCAGATGTCGGCAGGAGATGAAGAGGAAATATTATCTAGAATGTGGCGGCGTTTAGCGTTCCTTATCACTTGGGTACACCGATTCCTTGCAGACTTGTACAATTGCCAGTTGACTTCGATACGGTCCCTTTTATAAGTCCTAAATGCCCGATCTCGACGTCTCATGGCCATCTGTATACCCCTGGTCATCCAAGGTGCTGGCAATCGTTTAAGCCTAACCTTTTTAACCGGTACATGAATTTCGTACAGTTTAGTCACTATTTCGTTAAATACGTGCACCTTGTCATCGATAGAAGTAGAATCGATCAGGGATGTCCAGTCAATATGTGACGCATCGTCATTCAATTTGTCAATATCCATTCGTTCAAAGCAACGCCTGTAAAGAATCCTAGGTTTGGGTTTAGGAGGTTTGAGAACGTAGGAGAGGAAAATCAGGTGATGATGTGAAATTAAATATTTTATGTATTTATATCTTTATTGTAAATAGTTAACACATAAATAAGGATTAGTTACAAATATGTAGACATAACAATTGGTGGTCTCATCGCTAACGGTGATCTCTTACAGACAACCTTAATAGGGATATTTGATATTTAAAAATTTGGATTGTTTACATACACGTAACACATTATTATGTGATTATTTAAAATATCAACAAAAGTATTCATACACAAATATACATCTATTCACGTTACACATATATAAATACACACACACATAAATATGAATATATATATATATATGCATATATACATACAATCTAAAATATATACTAAATATACTGAAACCAACAGTGTTTATAATGTCAAATAAAAATCCTTCACTAAATGTTTGAAAACGGGCAAGGTTTTAGGTTGACGGATTGTCACAGGCAAGTTGTTCCAAAGTCTTACTGTGTAAAAAATTTGTCTACAAACTTTGTGGAATGTAGTGGCATTTGTAGTTTTAAATTCTCTGATGACCTCAGGTCCCTGTAAAATGTGTTGTGTAATAACTGAAAATGTTCTTTGAGATAAGAGGTTGTGTGGGGATGAAAAAGAACACTGTATAAAAGAGAAAGAATATGTAAATGCCGGCGAATAAGTAGCTCAAGTTTATTCAGTTGGTCTTTAGTGAGATCCAGATAGCTGACATCATTGACATCATAGTCGAGGATGGGAAGAAGAAAAGATTGTATGAGCGCAGTTTTAGTATTGGATGGAAGGAAGTTCCGTAGCCTTCGCAGAGATCCTGTTGCAAATAGTTTGCAGCTCACTTCTCCAATCTGAGGGCCGCAGAATAGGTACCTATCGATATAGATCCCTAAGTTTTTAGCTGTATGTTTTTTTTTTCACTGTATGGTACAACGAAAGTTTAGTGCAGCCGACCTACAATAATGACTTGTGTTTTGGTAGGGTTTCCACTCAGTCCATACAAAATAAATTATCTAGAGTAGCTTGCGAGTAAAATTGGAGATCATCTGCATAAAGTCTTCTGTCTTCCTACCATGAAGACAGTAATTGATTTGTGATTGAGTTAATAAAAACTGCAAAAAGTAACGGTGATAACACGCCTCCTTGAGGTACGCCTGCAAATGTTGTGCGCCAAGAGGAATACACATTTTCAGTACAAGCACGCTGCTGGTGACCGTACAGGTAACTACTAAACCAGTCAATTGCCAAAGGAGATATGTTAGGAGAGCACAATATACCTAGCAGGACATTGAAATCCTCAGTGTTGAAAGCGTTGTTAAAGTCAAGTAAAGCAAAGACTGTGAGCTTTCCTTCGTCCATACCCGACCTAACGTCGACCGCAATATTGACTAGAGCTGTGGTAGTGCTATGACATGGACGGAAACCTGACCGGAAAGGATTAAGGAGACAATTTCTTGAGAGAAATGAACTTAGCTGTGTGTGAATGAGATGCTCGATTACTTTAGGAAAAAAAGGAAGGATAGATATTAGACGGTAATCTGAGAAGGATGACGAATTACATTTCTTGGGGAGAGAAATAATTTGAGCCATTTTCCATGCAGATGGAAGAAGGTTGAAGGATATGGATAGGATAGGATATAATAGTTGAACATTATTACGGCTGATACTGTCGCTTCCTACGGCATTAGAAGTTATTGACATAATGCTTTCAATGCAGAAAATTGACTAAAGACTAAACAGAACTGGGAACAGTCTGCATCGGCAGAGAAGAAAGATAATTCAGCGTCGCAGTCTTGGTAGCTTCTCCGTAATTTATTTATTTATTTATATAGGACAACTTACAAAACATACACTAATACATAATTTACAAACATGTTTTACAATTATTTTCTGAGTGTTGTCTTACTTACAAGTTGCCACGGCATGGTAAGGGACAGTTGCATCTAAGATTACAATGCAATATCTATAATAATACACAAAACATACAGAACATCATCGAAATTAGTTAGACAGTGATGATCTAAGAAGGTCCAAATGACGCAATAACTTTACTTTTAAATTTTGGCAGACTGTTTGAGAAGATGTCTACATCAATTTCATGATTTTTCGTCAGCTTGTTATACTGGCTTTGTAGTCTATTTATAGTAGCGTTCTGACCCAAGTTGGTTTTAGAAGATTTAATAGAAAAAGGAGCGTATTTATTGGCACGGAGAGACCTCGACCTCGTAATTAAAGGAAGCAGAAAAATATTAGTTCAGGGAATCAATATCAACATCTTTTGAAGCACAATTAGGAAGTGACTTGCCGATTCCCACCGACTTAAGAAATTTCCAGACCTGAACTGGGTCACCATTTACAACCGATTTGTGGATGTATCAGCGCTGAGCGTTACTACAAACATCTATTGCAGTGATTTCTAATAAGCACAAATTTTTCCCAGTTTGATGCCGTAGGGTCACTTTTACACTTATATTGAGCCCGTGCTTGTCATACACGTAAATTAAATTATTTGTGAAGATTTCAATTCTTTCGTCAACACATTAGGAGATAAAAAGTGGACTCCAGTCGACGTTGTCAGCATCTCTGAGAAGCTTCGACATTCATATTACGAAAATTACGGTGTTAGATTATTTTAGCATTAGGTTTAGGAGTACGAATGAGAAAGGATAGAAAGAGAAGATCATGATATAAAGACGAAACGAAGATACAAGGACAAGGTCTAAGAGAGATGAATTACGGTTTGGCAAATTGTGTGTAGGATTAAGTGAAGGACCATTCCAGATACTGTTTTTGTCCATACAAAAACAGTATCTTTAACAGCTACTGGAATAACAAGATGAAAACAAGTAACACAAATTAATCACTTCAGTACTTACTGTAGCTTATTATGTTTAGAACTATCCCTTAAATTTCACTAAGTTTCATTGGAATGCAATAATAAATATATTTTCATAATTATGTGTTCGCATGGGGTGGATGTGGTTAAATTACCTGATAAACATTTTTAAAACTGTGTTGTACTCTTGTGGCTCATTTATCTTGGTTTGATAGATAACTGAATGTCATTTAAGTCTTAAAGTCACAAAAACATATTTTTGTCGTAAAGTTTTTTAAATCATATTTTACTAAGGCATATAAAGTCTGCTTTTGCTTGAGTAAAAAGTGCTTAGTGACCTTTATAATTAGTATACAATTTAATTTAATATTATGTAATTAATAATAACACACAAAAATTATGCACAATTGTGTTGATGTTTGCCTTACTTACTCATACTGATAGTACTGAGGTTAACTTGTAGTTGCACATCATTGTTGCAGAACTGTTTTTGACAACTTTTCTATTGTCTAATAAGTCCAAGTAATAGACTGTGCTTTCAAAGTATATGTTACAATTGACTATTACACATTTATTCTTAGTAGAAAAAAATGTTTTGCTAATCATACCCAGGTAATCCTGATTGTTTTGGCTGAACCTTGTCTGTATTGTGTGTGTGTGTGTGTGTGTGGTTGTGTTTATGTCATAAACATGTACTGATATTGATGTTCATAGGCATCTAACTGGACACCAAGAGAGTTAAGGAGTAGCCAGTACAAAGTTACAAGAAAGATACAACGCTGGCCTACTAAATGTGAGTACAACATTCATTGATTGTCCCATAATATGCAGAGAAGTGGCTGTTATTATTTAATAACAACATGCCCATCACTCTGAAACCTGGCAGACCTGACTTATTTTTCCTGTTTCTTTGCTAATTAAGTAACCATCATTATGATCAGCCTAGCAGTCCACTGCTGGACATAGGCCACTCCCATGGCACGCTACTTAGATCGATTTTCGATCGATTAAGTAACCAAGTAAGATGCATAGTTTAACAAGTTCATATTAATGCAGGAAATATTACCTACCACCACATCATCTAACTTTATAAAAGCTTGAGAGAGGGATATATAAATTATTTTATTATTAAGAAATTTTCATAAATTTCAAGTAAATAGATGAAATACAAATAGTAAAGGCAATAAAAATAATATAAAGGAAACCACCATATAAAATCAATAAAAGACTTATTTTCCTACATTAATTAACTCCTAAATTCTATAACTTTTCCACTTTTCCAGATAACCGCCGTCTTCGGACGATAAAGATGCCTCGAATAATGTTTCCTGAAAGTGACACCGAACCTGAAAAATATTCTAGACGGTAATAATATTCATAATTACTCAAATTTACAAATGTGAATGTTGGCAGTTAAAAAAATCATACATAGGTGGAGGTGGAATGGAATGAAAGAAGAAGCTATCATAATAGCTTGTCTTAATAATTAACCTGCCTCTAAGGCGAATTCTGAAGATCAGACTTAACAATATATAACTGGGTGGTGTGTTTCAAAATCCGCCAGATACAACTTTTTCAGCGTTCAAGGTAAATATTTTAGTAGCCTTGAAGCGCTTCAGTTCTGTTCCTTATCTAAGTGCAGTCGCGATTTATTCCATTTGACTTTTAGTAGAGTAAGTAAACTCGTGCCTACCTTCTCTATTGATTAAAGATATACGATTTTATTCAAGTGTGAATTTCGCGATGCCGGACTAGTTTTAGACCAGACGTTGGCCTTTTTCCGAGGAGTGCAGCCACGACGGTGTCAGGCGTCACTTGAGACCGTCTCGACAGTTTGCCTCGCATCACCAACGAAATACCGCAAAACTTGACACCACGAAACAAGTCGGGCATCAAATATGAGCACGAAAGTCAATAGTTTTAAACCTTATATAATATACTCGTATAATAAAACGTAATAGTTTTTTGTTTCATTGTTTGTTTCAGATTTATTTTTTTGTACTAGAGAAATAATATAGGCATCGCACTATGACACGTAGGAGCGGAACGGAACCACTACCGTAACTGAAACACTGAAATAGTTTTTAATCATTGTGAATTTTATATTATCAATAATGTTATGTTTTAGTTCAAGGCAAGTACGAGTGTTCTTCGCTGATGACAATGATTCCACGAACAGAAGCGTGAAGATACGGCGCAGTCGAGGCCCCAGGAAGAACTACGAGGAGAGTGAAGATAAGCCTATACAAGAAAGTAAGTGTAAAATAAAAAGTGTATTCGAATGTAGAATATTCTTTCTGGTACACTTACACCATAGAGTTCAAAACAAACAGAAAACCTTTAAATAGAAATCATAAGAGAAGCATTAAATGTTTTTTCATGGCGCAGGCAAGGTTTTCGAGTTACCAGATGTTGTTGATAAATGAGGAACTTCAAGTATCTTATTTTCGTAGGACTTTTGAGGGACAAAAATGTAACGATGATACCTCCGACTTGTAAAAATATCTGAAAAGATTTACTTACAGAAATGAATATCATTTAATTTCTGGATGACCAAGCTTTGCTCGGTATTTCTTTTTGTTTTTTAAATGAATTCTTGCTAGATCGATTGTCGCCCCCGAAACCCCCTGCATACTAAATTTCATGAAAACCGCTGGAGCCGTTGCCGAGATTCAGATTATATATATATAAGAATACCACTTGTGTGATAGTAAGGGTTCATCGTAGTTTTGCGAGGGTGTGATAATATGCGTTACCGACTTTTAAAAAATATATATTTGAAAACGGACTTAAAGGAAAGGAAGAACTGAACAGAGTGTGAACCATTGCCATCATAAGTTTCTGTAAATTTGATCTTCTGTTGTAGATGTACGCCGCAGTTGTCGCAAGCGTAAGCTTCTCCATCACAACTTCAACGAGTCCTGGATCACTAACGAGCTAAAAGTCAAAGGTTATCCAGACTTGTACGGATTTCCCGGCTCTAGTTCGTCGGATGAATCTTCTTCGGCTGACGAAGCCAGAGTTAGGTCTAATAGCAAGAAATTGGTTAGTATTTCGATAATAATAATAATAAATAAATATTAATTTATCCAAATAACCTTTAACAATTGTACTTAATTCTATTTAACATATTGCTTAAGGTTACACAAGTAAACATAAACCCTAACTCCCAAACTAGGTATTCCTGTGACTTGGGAGTTAGTGTTCTGCCATCACTATATTCACAATGATCCTTCCTTGAAAAGTATTATTACCATATTTTAGTGTTATGTCAATTTTAGTGTAACATTTCAAATTTTACAACATTTTGACAAACCAACAATTGACATACCAACAAATGACCAATTATGGACCAAATTAGTAACTTACCTAATTTTGACTGTGTGAAACTAAATAACTAAATATAGTTAAGTCCTACGTTTTCAGAATACAAAACGTGGTTTGACGGGCCTAAACAAATTTTTAATGGTTTTTAGTTTAGTTTAGAAATAGCTTTTAATAAAATACATATTTTTTCTTTAATTGTCTGTCGACCAATATTGAGTTGAGGCGATGCTTCTGTTGGTCTTCAAGTTACTCTGCTTTCTAAACTTTATGTTATATTTTCTACTTATTCTTTAGACCCGTCCACATGCCCCGGTGAACACTGATGAGGACACTCAACTGTCCCGCCAGAGACGGACATCAGCTAGATTTAATAAGTCAAAAGTTATTGTAAGTAGTCTTAATTTATTTTTATTTTTTCAATTTTACGTGTGCACTCAGATTTTTTGATATTTTGGTAATGCTTTTTTAAGTTTACCAGTTTTTTGAGTTACCCAAATATGTTAACATAATTGGGTAACTCAAAAAACGGGTAAACTTGATTACGTATTTCTGAAGAATATCTCGTTCAAAATGTGAACAAAATAATAACGATGCCCATTTGGAAAAATGTCGCCCGTCTGGGAGCGTGGAGCACACATGCAGCAAATACAAAGAGGAGGTGGTGTAATTAAATTTCTCTATGAAACAACGCGTGACAGTTTGCGTGGTGGGGTGTTAAACTTCGCCTACGTCACTTTTTTCCATGTACCAAATAATAGCAAAACTACTTGCATGTTCTATGTCGATGTTGCTATTTAGTTTAGCTATCTCACACTAAGTGTTGGATGTAAGGGATGTACTCAGAATTTTCATACCAGTGAGTTTTTTAAAGATTAATTTTCTGAACTATCTTGATACTATTGCTAAAATCTCACTCATGTTATTCAATGAGTATTGCTAGTGTAAGAATAAAAATTTGTTCTGTTATTTATTATTTTATCGATATTAATGTGTACGGTTTATCTTATTATCCTATTGTCACCCCACTACGGAGAAAAAGATTGATATGATTTTCACCCATATATACAAATAATTAAGGAATTATTAAAATGAATGTAATTTTATTTACAAATTAAATGAAATTAAAATATTTTATTTTATTAAGCATCTGAATGCAATTTTGAAATCCAATCTGTAAAAAAAAAAAATACAATAACCAAAGCTTAAAATAACTTAAGAAAAATTCTTTGAATATTATACATGACCATTTCTTGGGGTGACTTTTACGAAATGCTAAACATATTCACATATTCACACATTCAATTTCATTAAATGTTTTATTTTGCAATTAGTATGTCACTTAATACAGTACCTAAGTAAGTTACTTTTTACTATATTATTGGATTAAATTTGGATTCCAATTTTGGCCCTGTCTTTTTGTCTTGTTTATTTATGTTTTTCTAGTTGACGATAGATGACAGTCTGTTCACAAAATGATTATTAACATTTTTAATATATGTTTTGGCTTATATGGATATATGTTTTAAAAATTCTTTAGGACTGAATGCAGAAAAACATTAAGTATTATCTGACTAAAACGTAAGCTTACATACCTTTATACTTTTAGTTCAAATTCCACAAAGTTAAGTCATCTAGTGCCGAAATATATTTAAAAAAAAACTAAGATAATTTTTTTGAACTATTTTAATAAATTAAGTATAAAATTACTTATAAATGAAATGCGATACCACCCATAGCAACAAAACGTCTATCCGAATTATTTAATACAAAATTTCATCCTTTTCTTCTTAAAACCACGAAAATATTCTGATTTGCGATTTCGCGACACAAAGTACAGACGCTGAGTTTACTAATTTTAAGCCACGCCCACTGTGTTGACGTCAGGACCTACTTAGAATTTGATTAGGTCTCGGTGTTTCTATGTATAATATATATGTATTTACAAAAAAAGTATATAAGTATTTATATCAGTTGTCTAGTACCCATAGTACAAGCTCTGCTTAGTTTGGGACTTGATGGTGTTGTTTGAATCTGGTAGAATATTATTATTATTAATTATAATTATTCTCCATGACACTCGAAGTTGACTTATGGCATTTTCCATTGTGCTTCAAGGATCACACAGAATCGGATTCAGATGACGAGAACAACCAAACTGTCATCGAGAAGAAGCCGGTGGAGAATAAGAAGGAAGAAGAGAAGATGGAAACAGCAGAGGCAACCAAAGACGATGAAAAACAAGTTAAGACAGAAAGAGAACAGCCTGTACAAGGACAGGATAGCGAAAGGTCGGTAGAATTTGTGGTTTAAGTGAAATGAGATGGTTTCTGTTAAACTCTATAAGAATGTTTGCAAATAATTAACATTATTTTTATATTCTAATGATCAATTCCTGAAGTCGAGGGTGTGAACTTATTATTTTATAAACGTATTATTATTGCTATTTACAGTAATCAAGCTCCTGTAAGAACTAGACAGACTAGAAGATGTAGACAGACAAAGAAAGACAGCCAGCAGGACTCAGGTAAATAAATTTATTCCCATATTATCATTTTCTTAATAAAAGTTTATAAAAACACTGATTGTTTGCTTATGTTTGTCTCTTTGGAATTTTGTAGTTTTTTTTTAGTTTTTATATAGCTTTTATCATTGTTATGGTCACATTAACTTCAAACATATTACCTATTTAGGTCCTTTGACATTATAAATAAAATAGATACTGCAATAACTTTGTAAACGACCTACAAACCTTCACAAAAGATTGTAGTCCGACTTCAAAGACCTGACTCCTGAGTTGCAAGCGTTCATGGGTGGCCATAGTCACTTTCAATTAGGTGTCCCGTCACCTCGTTTGCCCTGTACATCTATTAAACTGTGCTTTAGCATTCGTTAGTAACAAAATGTTTGGTAAAACATTGTATGTTTTATCATTTCAGAGTCGTCGTCTTCGGAGTCGGGCAGCGAGTTGTCGCTGCGCCGCTCCAAGCGCACGCGCAAGCCCAAGCCTGCCTTCGTGCAGATTGAGTCCGGCGAGACGCGATCTAGAGGCAGGGGTACTGTGTTCCTCATTCTATTCATTTTAATTATATGTATAGGCCTCTGCAACTGGCAATACCTTCCCCGATTTAATTACTGCCCACCGCGTATGTCGTATACTCATTTGCAACTGCAACACCAAGCCTACAAGATGTTTTATAGATTTTGGCTTTTCCCATATTTTTATATTATCTATATTAAATATTATTAAATTACTACCAAAGAACAACACACATAAAAAAGGATATGGATTGTTTTCAAGCACAACTTCATCTAGTTATATCTATTATTTTCTTTTCTTTAAAAATACAGCACCCGCACTAGCAATATGTCCTGTGTGGCGGAGACTTTACAAACATTCATTCAAACGGACACAAAGAACTCTGGTAGATATTTATAAATCACATAAAGTGTTGTCCCATGTGGGGATTGAACCCACAACACTCAGCGCAGTAGGAAGCAGCGAGGTGACCGCTTAAACCACTACGCCATCTGTGCAGTGGCATCTATCTATCATATCACTAAGAAATACATCCTCCAAAATACTGAGAATTCAAATGTCAATAACCATATATACAATTTCTGTTTTTAGCCAAAACATTCACAATTCGAAAGAAGCCATATAGTTTAAGAGAGAGAAAACCAAAAATATTACGCAGAAAAACCATCAGATGTAAGTAATATCATGATTTCCTAACTGAAATAGAGTCAAGTGTATGACTAAAGCCACTATCACAGTTTCGAGTTTGCGATCTTCGTAGTCTTGTTATTGAGTGTTTTTCTTTGTAGAGTTTTTACCAAGTAAATATATCTTTACAGCACAATCGCCGTCCAGTACCACAAGTACCTCTAGCACTTCTAGTTCAGACACAGAAGAAGATCTTAATGTTTCAATGAAAAATAAAACTAAAGGAAGGTGAGTAAGTTATTTTTTAATTTGTTTTAAATTACATAAAAAATGCAATATAAGTTTGAGAAAATAGTCAAAGATCATAAGTAATTAAAAAACAAGGTGCTTGTAAAGGTAGGTATAATATGTATTCATTTACAAAAAAAAGTATAGGAGTATTAGTTTTTATAGTACAAGCTCTGCTTAGTTTGAAACTAGATGATGTTTTGGCTAGTGCTTTAATATGATAATTAGTTCAACAGTAAACATTATTGCTGATATTCCAGTATGTGGTAGCTTTCAGGCCTTTTTTTAATAACTTATAATATTTTTATGTTTCAGGCAAAAGTCAAAGTCACAAGATGAGAAAAAAACTGACAGGGCCTTGAGAGATATTCAACCTGTGGAGGTTGATGGCAGTGTCAGATTTACTTCTGTAAGTATTATTAATGTCTTTGTGAATTGTGATTCTTCTACATTAGGTAACACATAGGTGTTCAAAGTTGGTTTTTCGATTTTCATGAGCACATTGTTAATTATAGTGTTTTTTCTAGGTGGGAGGTCTCGAAGAACATATAAAATGTCTTCGCGAGATGGTCCTCTTTCCCTTGATGTATCCCGAACTATTCAACAAGTTCAAATCTCGGCCGGCTAAAGGTGTTCTGTTCCATGGACCGCCCGGCACTGGGAAGACGTTGTTAGCCAGAGCTTTGGCGAACGAATGTTCCTTAGTGGGGGGAAGGAAAGTGGCTTTCTTCATGAGGAAGGGAGCGGATTGCTTAAAGAAATGGGTTGGAGAGAGTGAGAGGCATTTAAAATTGCTGTTTCAGCAGGTGAGATTACTTATGACTTTTTATTATCAATTATGGATTTAAGGGTTTTTTCTTCTTTAAGGGTACTTATTGATACAGAATTTAAGTGACCTCCACTAAAACTTTATTTATTCATGTTCATACATGAATTCATACAAATAATATATTCTTAGAATACTTCATCTAACTCCATTAAATAATATACTCGTAATATCTGGTTATTTATGATGATTTTTGCTAAATACCATTAATAAAAATTTAAGTTGTAAACTTTCTTATACTTATAGGCAAACAAAATGAAGCCATCCATTATTTTCTTTGACGAGATAGATGCATTAGCTCCAGTGCGGAGTGTGAGGCAGGAACAAGTGCACACGAGCGTTGTGGGGACCTTGCTGGCCGAGATGGACGGCCTATGCGACAGGTAATTTGACGTTTTTTTTTAAATTGTATCTTATTTTTGAAGGATAGATTTAATTTATTTTAGTCTGATCTCCAACAAGAAATACACCTCATATGCTAGTTTTACAGTGAGTAAAATTTTATGTCTTCTCTTCTTGGACGTTACGAAAATATAATATATACAATATTTGACTAAAAGGTAACTTTCTTTAGTCTCAGAAAAACCCTATAAAAGTTTACCCGGTCCCGGAATCGAACCCGAGGCCTCATGGAGTGCAACCGCGTACCGTACTACACCACTAATTCAGCGCTTTTCAAATTATAGTCTAGTAATAGTCTTCAATAAACTCCGGCAGTATCGAAAACGGTCAGTAATGATATTTGATTATTGGCAGAGGCGAGGTAGTAATAATAGGGGCGACGAATCGTCTGGACGCCGTGGACCCAGCGCTGCGGCGCGCGGGCCGCTTCGACCGCGAGCTGCACTTCGCGCCGCCCCACGCGCTGGCGCGCCGCGACATCCTCCACATCTACACCCAGCACTGGCTGCCCAGGCTCAGCGACGACACCTTGGACCATATCGCTGACATCACGGGCGGTTATGGAGGTACGCTTTGTTTCAATAGTGTATTGCACTCATTTTATTTAGTCGTTGGACGTTGGACGCTGTGGACGTCATATTGCTATGGGGCTATGACGTCAGTCGGCTTTGTAAACAAATACCCTGATATTTTTTATGATATTGTTTATAATAAAAAAAATAGTTATTATTTTCTACTTAATGGAATTCTCGTTGCCGTGTGCTGTTCCTTAATACAAGAATACTAGTGTATGAACTGTCATTTTAGTTTACACAGCCGTAAGACTTAATGAAATGGCCGTATTTCATGGTGTTAAATAAGAGATTAAAAAGAAACTGAAAATTTCAAATGAAATTTTTAAAAAAAGTTATTTTATGAACTAAAATTTTCATTCTCAATAATACATTTTTTCTTTTTTTTTCTCATTTAGAGCGATACTCTATTGAGACACGAATTATCACTTATAATATGTAGGTTTGTTTTATTCTATTTAATTTGGTTCTATGATCATATTTTTTTATCAACAATTACACCTATTTATTTAATTTTCAGGTTCCGATCTTAAAGCGTTGTGCTCCGAAGCAGTATTAAAGGCATTAAGAAGAGTTTACCCACAAGTTTATGAAAGTGAGCATGCCCTGGTTATTGATACCAAAAATGTAAGTATAGACTCATTTTAGGGTCAACTTTGTTAAAATTTATTCAATAACCCGAACAATAACCCAAAAATACGACCCCTAGAATTCTTTATATATATTATTTAACAACTACTAGTAGTAGTGGTCTATCACAAGTACTTTACAAAGATAACTAAATAAATAACATCTTTCGACAGACATCATTATATCCTACAAGGGACACTTCTTTGTGTGATTCTCAAATTGTTCTAAGTCTAGGTGTTCTTTGTGTCCGTTTCATGTATGTTTGTAAAGTAAGCGTAGTATTAAAAAAAAAATTGTGTTGACCGATTTATCGTTCCAATCCAATAAAGTCGATCTTTGCTTGTACTGCCGTACCGTGTGGTGACTTAAGAATACAGAGTGTCACCACTCCCATATTCATCCCGTGGGCGTCTTAAGACCCGACTAAGGGAGCAAACTACGGAGGACAACAGCACTGCAAATAGAAAGAAAACTTGACACAAACCCTATACCAACCCGTCTGGCCAGCGTGGCATGTGTCCAAAACTTCCTTTCTAGGGAGAGGCCTATGTCTAGCAGTTGACTATTAAAGGCTGTTGATGTGATGTGATGATGATGATGTGATGCTTGTACTGGCGATTTAAGCTTGTCTTTTGATGATTAAGTTGAGATAAAAGATTGGCTATACCAGAATAACATTCTTTTTTCAGGTTGAAGTAACAAGAAAGGATCTTTTAGAAGCGATGCATTCCTTAGTAGCTGCGGGGGCTAGAACAAGTCCGTTAGCTGCTAAACGCCTCCCGCCGCACTGTATACCGCTATTACAAGCACAAGTGCAGAGTGCCGCCACCGTGTTGCAGAATATGTTTCCACTTTGCTCTAGTCCCGATAAGAGGCAAGATTTTTTTTTTCTATTTCTAAAATTACGTTCTATTGCAATGTTGCCACTTCTTTGAAATCGATTATATTAAAAATAGTTTTTTATAAAAATAAGTTAATTCGCTGTTACTTTACTGTAATATTTTGTACAATTATTATTCATGCATACATTCAGACCTGAACGGGTACAGGGTAGGTAGAGACGTATTAGATACAGAACCATGATCAAACTCAAATATCTTTATTTCATAAAACAATTGAAATCATTTCAAATCGTCTCTTGTGTAGACTCTAAAGTCATAAATCAAGAGTAAAACCAAGTTGTGTAATAAATTATTATTATTAAAATAACTTTTTATTTGACCATAAATTATTTAAAAAGAAATCTGCTTAATACTGGTAGTACTGAAATAAGCCTAAAGTTAGCTGGTTCAGATATACTGCCAGATTTGAATAAGGAAATTATTTAATGGATTTCATAAGATCAGGAAATACACCACTATCAACACATTGATTAAATGGAAATGACAAATTATTAGCCACAAGAGATATAATTGTATTAGTAATTAATACAGAATTTTCCCATAGGTCGGTTGTTTTTTTTAACATAAATAGTGTTAATAGCTTTAATAATTTCAAGGGGTGAAACATATTGTAACTTACATTCACTATCAATCCTACCAACATTATCCTTTAAAATTGATTCAGCAAGGCATGGTGAGGAGTTCAAAGATTTAGTACTTGATACAGGAATATTGGTAAAAAAGTTATCAAATGTGGCAGCAACAGCATTTGATGAGATGAATTTATTGTTTACATTCAGATTAAATTCATTATCGTAGTAGTTTTCGCAAGTGGTTTTAATCTTATTATTGCTACTTTTAATCTTTGAACTTCTAAAACGGGACTTAGCCAATTTATAAAGTTTCCTAAACAGCTTCGAATATTCTTTAATATAGTTATGAAACTGTTCACTTTTATTACTATAATAAATAAATAAAGGTAATATTCCCTTCTGTGACAACCCTTTACTAAGAGGAAGTGTAAACAATACAATTTTACTTACATCTAACTTAACTAATGATTCAAAATACCCTATGATTTTTTTTCCTTTACATTTCCCCTGTTACCATACAAATGACCAATGAAGTATTTGTGTTGAAATTTATTTTAGAATTTAAAACCTTTGCTATGATATAATTAAGAGTAAGTTAGGCATACAATAATAGCTGAATGAATGTCCCAAGTGTGTATTTAACATTAAGGGACCCATGCCCTTTCCAATTTCATCACTAAACATTGCTAGGTTTTAATTTTTGCATAGTTTATATTTTTGTATAGGGAAATCCTTGATTTCACTTAAAATAGTTGTGTTACATAAAGGTGGCAATTTGGTGATGAATATTTATTCGATTTCTCTTACGAAATATGGTTTTATAATTATGGCTATGGTTAAAAATTACTTTAGATATATTGAAATGGAAATGCAGCAGTTGGTGATAATAAGATTAACTTGCTATTTGTAGGTTTGGAGATCCATCTCTATCACAAAGCACATTGTTAGTTACGGGTGAGTGTGCAGAGACACATATCGCCCCGGCGTTGTTAGCTCAACTGGAGCATTGTACTGTGAAAGAACTCAGCATGTCAACTCTGCACTCTGCACAGACGTTCACTCAAGAACAGGCTTTGATATCGGTGAGTCCATATATATTTTTTAAAATAAATATCAAACGTGCGCTTCTGGGTGTGTGTGTGTATTCTTCGTATGAAAGTGAATATTTTGATCGTTATAGTAGCAGTCGAGGACAACACAAACAAATAGGCGATCATACTTTTACATCTATAATATTAGTTAACTCACCCTGCCATAACTAAAAACGTGTTTTTTACGACGGAGAGCCGGCCTTATCGGAGGCCTGACCCTTCAAAGTTAACTCGTTTGCCCTCTATGTTCTATTTGTACACTAAAAAGCGACGAGTGGAACTTAGATCCGCAATAACGTGACTAATTGCGTGCCACCTCGGTCGCTAGGTGTTCTCGGAGTGCCGGCGCGCGTCGCGCGGCTGCGTGCTGTTCGTGCGCGACCTGTGCGCGGTGTGGGCGGCGCTGGGCGGCGCGGGCGCGCTGCTGCGCCAGCTGTGCCGCTCGCGCGCGCACGGGCCCAACACGCTGCTGCTCGCCACCGCCCACTGCCATCACGACCAGCTGCCCGCTGACGTAAGTGTTTTTAAGCTTTCGAGCCATAGATATATAACCATAGAGAGAACACGGGGTACGGCTGCCTGTAAGTAGAAACGATACAGGCAACGAGCGAGATAGATGCTCGATATTTCCCTTTGTCTCTGTTTAGCTAAGCTACGATCGGCTACTTATTAATCCCTCATATTCCCCAGCCGACCACAGAGCACGGCTAGAAAGAGATAGAGGGGACTATTGATTATCCATCTCTCTCGTTGCCAATACTGCAAGATCGGGGCTCCTGTTCCATCTAGGTTATGTCTCTATGTTTCGAACAGTCTCATCTGACATCTCACCATCTGTCTAACGGCCAACTGTAGGGCCGCGCGGACTCATTATTAAATCGAGCAACAAGTGACTGTCCGGCATCCTGTTACACACTTCCGTGCTTGTTAAAAAAAAATTAATTCGTCAAAAATTATCATCAGAGAAATGTAATAAAACAGTAATACTTGAGAAAAGTAAAGCGTTCTGTATGTAAACCCCGACATTGTTAATTGAGCGTAAACCTTGATAAAATTAACAAAGACTATAACGTTTCCACAAATCATTACTCTTTTTGTATAAGTCGTGGATAACAGTGTCAATTGCATATTTATATTCCTATTATTTAGGCTAGTTTTAAAGATACAATAATTATGTAATCCGTTTGTTATTCAAACTAAATAATAAAAAAAAATGCTAAATTGTCTTAGAAAATTTATGATATAAAATTTGCTGCGTGTCAAAATCCGCGAGACTTGACGCAACAGCTTCTTCATACATATAAGTGTATTTTAGGTATGCTACGTAATCCTGTAACTGTTAGAAGAACCTATTAACCCTTTGATATAATAATAAACTTGTCCTTGACCTGATAACATTTGTACTTTAGATTCAACGACAATTAAATGTGTAAAACTGTCAACAAAACTATTATCCCTGTTTCAGCTACAAGAAATGTTTCCAATATACAAAGAATGCGTGTACCGCGTCCGCGAGCCGAGTGCCTCCGAAGTGATCAACTTCTTGAAGCCCGTCATCGCCGAGGCGCTGCTCGACCCGCCGCCCATTGAGAACAACGAACCGCCACCTCCTTTACCTATTGGTATGTATTGTTAGGAACCTTCCACAGTGTCCGAACGAGCTAAGAATAGCGCGCATATTCTAGAAACAACGTAGGACGGCACGAGAACCTTACTATCATACGCGTAACTTTGTAAATAGGTTGTTAAACTTGTTATGTTCAAAGTAATTGTTCCTCTTAATGTTTACTAGTAAGAACAATTTCGTGTGAACTTTCTAGATACTTGAGTGATAAACTTCGAAGTGATCTAAGCAAAAAGAAGAGCAACGCAGCGTCTGCGTCTTCCTTTTTGTTTATTGTATTGCATCTACACTTCATACTCCATATATTAGACTGTCTTATGGGGAAAAAGGGTTTTTAAAGTAAATAGATTTTTTTTGTATCGTAATTCGTCTCGCTCATAGTTATTTTGTTTCGAATAATGTTATATTGCATCATAATCTATTTTTTTTAAAGTTCCAAGCATAATCTTGTTTGTTACTTGTTGCAGCGCCGCCCCCTCCACCTCCTCGCGAAACGGCCGAAGAAGTAACTCGTCGCAAGCGCAAGGAAGACTACAAGCTGCGTGAATTGCGGATATTCCTTCGAGACATCTGTCGAAAGTTAGCTTCTAACAGACGGTTCTATAAGTTCACCAAACCTGTAGACTTGGAGGAGGTATGTGGTTTAAGATATTTTGAGAAGTGATTGATAGCGTTTTATGTATACATAGCACAAAGATCACATTCATGATAAATTCGAATTTCGAAAAATTTTGTTCTCTGTCGAAAAATGTTGTCGGTCTCCTACTCCTACTATACCGTATAGTAGGCCAAAACCTCCTTGCTAAGGAGAAGGATATGTCCAGCAATAGAAGTTATAGGCTGATGATGATGATGATAATTTCTTGGTACTTATTTGGCCAGGGGGCGGGACTTAATCGATGCGTCACTATTTTCTTGACGCGAATGGACTAAAATATTAAATGTCTGGACGCTAATATAATTAAAATGAGACGTTCACTTTAAAATATATTGTTTTAGCTTCCTCTTAAAAAAGTGTAGAAAGTTCATGGATGACAGATAGCAGTTTGTTAAATAAATTTGCACACAACATAACAATTCCTTTAAAACAGCAAATTCTTTGGGACTGTATCTACTACGAGTAAATATTTTATTATATTATATATATTATTATATTCCAGGTGACCGACTACCTAGATATAGTGAAGCAGCCCATGGACCTAGAGACTATGATGACCAAGGTAGACATGCACAAGTATAACTGCGCTAAAGAGTTCCTCGACGATATTGATCTCATATGCGCAAACGCACTTGAATACAACCCTGATAGGTAAGTTACCTCTAATACTACTACTGTTTTGTATTTTAGTTTTTATTATTATGTTAGAACATAGCTTGTATTTGTCCATTAACATTGTCTTGGCTGCACATACAATTGAAATTAAGTAAGCTGTCTTTCATCTCGGTCTTTACGGGTTCGAATTCCGTTTATCCATCTTGGATATTGGATTGTTTGTAGAGAGAAAGCGTAAAGTAAGGCTGTGTGGCCGTGTGGCGACGGATTAAGAATACTGAGTGTCACCACCCCTACTCATCCCGTGGGTGTCGTAAGAGCCGACTAAGGGAAAGTACTACGCAGAACAACAGCGCTGCAGAGAGCAGGAAAACTTGACACAAACCCTATACCAACCGGGCAATGTCTGCCCGGCGTGGTATAGTAGGCCAAACCTCCTTTCTAAGGAGAGGCTTATGTCCAGCAGTGGACTGTAAAGGCTGTTGATAATGAAGGCTTATTCGTCGTTTTTTTTTTTGATAATGTGTGTGTATTCTGTGTTAGGTCTATAGGTATTCTGTCATCAACATTCAACTAATTTTTATTAATATTAAAAAAAAAACAAATTCCTTAGCATTTAGGAACTAAAACCTTCTAAAGTATTTTAAGATAATTATGGTTTTAGGGTTGTCACCTCATAATTTATTTTTTATTTATTATTTTTGAAAAGTTATTACTATAAATAAACTGTTATAAAAAAACAACTTTAAACAACAACAACCAACCTAATATATAACCAACGCTATACCTAGTTAATAATTATGAAATTAGTATTTGTATTCAGTATAACAAAACTTGGATGTATTGACATAAACAAAGTTAAGTAACATTGATTTAGATACAAGGTATAATAGTTAATAATGTCATTACCGGAACTTTAGACATAACAACTTTATATTTATTTATTTTTTATATATTTTACAACTTATATTCAGATTGTAACCATTACAGATTTGATTGTATTATTTATTACTTACATATATAATATTTTAATGAATAAAATACGAACATCTCTATGTATAGCGTATAATTTTTAACATGATAAAATTACTTATCTATTCAAATTGAGAATATATGGTTAGGTTAGAATGTCTTACAATGACATCGTGCTTATGCACATTTTACCCGCCGACGCCGCTGTCTGTCCAAGCCTTTAGACAGCTGATTAGTAAACTCATTGCTGTATGTAGTATGTTATAAAGGTAAACCTAGAAAATAGGATAGAGTAGTGCTCGTTTTTTTAAATAATTAGATCATAAATTTCCCATGTAGAACGTCGTCAGACAAACAAATACGTCACGAGGCGTGTTCGCTTCGGGACCATGCGCACGCGCTGATCGATGTGGAAATGGACAGTGACTTCGAGCTCGAATGCCAGGAGATCGCCAACCGAAGACGCGAGGAAGGCAATGCTGATAACGATCTACCCGATTTTATTTATACGGCATCTAATTTACGTAAGTATACCTAATATCTTACCCTTTTTTTATGTTCCTCAAACTCCTAATATCTGATTAATAATCTAACCTATCTTTAGAGGTTACGATTTGCGAAATTGCAAAACATGATAAGTGAACAAAGCCGGATTAACAAAAGCCATTAACTTCTTTAAAAAGCTTTAAACTTGTGTTAAAAATGTATTTTCTTACATCTAATTTCTTTACCTAGATCACTCAATGATTGACGGAACACCATGTGAGAAATCGCCACGAACCCCACAAAACGGAGACAAGAGCGACCCACATTCGGCCAAACGGAAGCGTCGCAGGATGAACGCTTGGTCCAAAGGTTTAGTGGCTAAGCGACCTAAAACTTCCAGGGTAAGACCAGTTACAATTTTCTTACTTGTTACCGTCAAAACGTTGTGTAAATTCAACACTTATTTAATGTGATTAAAAGTAACATACAAAACTACTTACCTATATACATATAAAACACCTCTGGTGTATTATTATATATACCCTTTGTAAATATTAAGGTCCCATCCTTCTAGTGAATCAAAAACAGGTGAGGACAGCATTCTGTTGTTATTCTTTTACTACGGCCAACTATAGTAGGTAGTTCCTATAAGTTTGTGTTTAGTCAAGCTTTTAAAGGTATATCCCTAATTGAAGACCTACCAAAAAGCTTACTAAAATATTTTGGAGTGGTCTAGGTATCGTAAAAATTATCTCATAAGAATTATTTCATGAGTATTTATAAATAAAAATTCCGCACACAGAACTATAAAGATTCAAGCATGATAATTACGGACGAAGAATCAAAAGAGAACAAGCCGATAACGTCTACGCCGCTGCCCAACGGGGACGTGACGTCATCATCGGGCTCGGACGACGATGCGCCGCTTCGCCGGCCACAGGACTCCGCTGATGCCTCCGTCTTCAACATCACCGCGCAGAGTCTCGCTTACAACCATGTTTTAGAAAGGTTAGCGGTTTATATTTAGTCACTATTGGTTGATCATATTAGTTTCATGTTTTGAATAACCCACAAAGCCTTTGAAACTATCTGGTGTTTATTTAATAATGATGCTTGCTTCTACTAAAAATATATCAATTTTTGCTTCTGTTCCTCAAAAGGAGAGGCAACCCCTTTAGAGTCACTTCGGTCTTTGATTCGATAGAACGAACAAGCTATTTGTGATGAATATAATTGAAATGTTAAAAAAAAAAAAAATTCGACATCTTTGTGCAGCTTTCGATAGGCTTTTCGAATTCGAATCCAATTATTCACACGTGCTGTCTGATTTATGGTTATAATATACTTTTTCATATTGGTTACAGTCCGACGAAATCAACAGAGAAGTCACCTGCAAAGACATCACCAAAGAAGAGAAATTCAGGCCATGACGCTACAAGTGGAGGTTCATACTTCATCATACTCTTGTTATATTCCAACTTTAGCATTATTGTATGCATTTTAAAGTGAGTGAGGTTCTCAGATCCCTTAGCGCATAATGGGTCCACTAAAACGTTAATATATAGTTAAACTGAGACCCCCGGTGTTACCCGCGTTTGATACCATAGCATCTGTTAGAATCTTTTGGAGTTAACAGATAATTGTGACTGTCAATTAATTATAGACCAATAATTTGCAATGAAATAAAATTGCGACTAATAATCTAAGCTATCCTATCTCTTAAGTTGGACCAGACTGCTCACGGTGTGCCAATTTAATTTAAAATCGGTTAAGTAGTTTAGGAGTCCATCGCGGACAAACATCGTGACAGGAGATTTATATATATTAAGATTAAGATATGATTTTTAATGTGTATGCCTGGACCCTAATGATCCCTTCGAATCATTAGGACTCCTATAATAATAGTAACTTGTAACACCACAGTCCTCACATACCACTAATGCCTATTTAACTTTACATAGAACAGCTTATATCTACATATTGTGTTCATATTAATTAATTACCTGGTATCTGCGACTTCGTACGCGTGGAATTTGAAAAGCGCTGCCTTAGTCCAGTCCATGAGGGCTCGGGTTCCAATTTCGGTCTAGCCGTATAGAAGATTACCCGGAACAAACAGACAGAAAAAAAAAATATACACTGGTTTTACGGCATAGGTATCGTGCAAATAACCATGTTTCACCAAACAGACACTTCAATTTTATTTATTTGTATAGATAAATGAAGTCCAGAGAGAACAAAAGATTGTGCTCATCCCTTGTCATCATAATTTTTCTTGGGTGAAAATCGAACCTAAGACGTCTGACTCAGCAGTAAAGACCACTTATTATTTGACCTACAGACCTGTCAAATGACATTCATTTAATTTTTCAAGTACTCGAATACTTTTATTTAGTTAAGTAAAATACATATAATATCAGCCCACTTTTTTTAGATGATGTTTTTTTTTTTGACAGACGCTGAAAAAGTACTGATTAACAAGACTGAGTTAGAAAACATTGTATATAAGAATGCGAAGGCACTGCGGACGATAGGACTCGAACCTTTACTGGACTTGCACGCACAAATGACACACGCGGTCCACTCATACTCCACGAAGTACGACCGAACAAAGTTACCCCAAGAACTTCACGCTATTGTCACCAGGTACTTGCAGCACAGGAAATGAGACGAGTTACACTTGGGAAGACGAGTGGTTGTGAAATTGATACGTTTGAATATTTAATGTACAAAGTTACGTGTTGTTTTTGGACATATTGGAATATGGATCTTCGATGTTAGAAGTATGTTGTTAGTGAATGTTCGTAATTGATTCTTCTGTTAAGGACTGAGATGGTCTAAGATTTTTTTATATACTCTAATGTTGGGTATCGACTTTGTCGGAATGTATACGTTGAAGTGTTATAAAGAGTTGAATGTTAAAACTAAACGAATTGTCTTTATTGTGGGTGAGCAGAAACCTTAAATTATTATTTTTACTTGAATTTTGATATGCATAGAAAAATTGACATGATATTATGATAAAATTGATTATGAATGTTCTTAAATGTGAAAGTGCTCATGGGATTTGTAATCGCGTTGATCGCAAAAGATATGGTTTGACTTGATGTGTGTAATCCTCAATAGTGAACTGATTTGTAAAGATTAAACATCGTACTCCCTTCAAATCAGAATAGGGATTCTCGAAGTAAAGTATTAAACATCCAACGTTGACTGTAATGTGATTATATCGTATTGTGACCGAAAGTTGAATCGGTATTCTGGTAGTCTTAGTAATACTTTACTACGAGAATACCTTTTGTGACATTTGTGAGATCGAGGGTAGATCGGAACTGAATTTTGAACAAATTTTAATTACGAGAATTGACCTTCAGTTCAGTTCAATTACGGTCAGTTCAGTTTAAGCAAACTGGACTTTTTTACAGTTGACAGCATTCTCAGAGTGAATCAGTTCCAGTTTGAGAGGGACCTATTAATATTCAGTCTAAAGCAGCTAGACAGTTAAAGAGAAATATTTAGTCTTGGCTTAAACTCTGATCACTGCCATTGTTGTAATAAAATATATAACCACCAGTTAGGGCTAACTGGTGGTTATATGTAGGATTAACATTTTTTGCTTGTATGAGTGTATGTCCATTAATATGACACAGCTCAAGCTTTAGTTACCTATTTTTTTTTATTGTGCCAGTACGAGAATAGCTAAAGATTTTATTATATTTGTGTATTTACTCTATAGAGCTTACTCACTAGAGTGTATTAAAATCACCACTCAGTTATATATATATATATATATTGTAAATATGCATTTTAGATTCTTTCACTTAGGTCGATTACTCTCGGTTTTTTAAATTTAACTAACAGTAAAAAGTTAAAATCCTGAACATAAAATACATTTGTATTACTATAGACGATCATTTGAACTTTTATGAGTGCTTATTTTTTTTTTGGTTTAAATTATTAATTCTCAAATAGACAATACTAATGGCACTTGCATGAGAACACAAAATATTTACTCCCTAGAACAAATTAATAAACTTAAACAAGCACACAAACAAAATGTATCTTATGTAATTATTTATAGTTCATATTTTTACCATTTAATATACGTAATTTGAATAAAAAACATTGAAATTAAATTTGAAAAAAAAATCATGCATAAATTAAGGATTCTCGCACACTCAGTCAATTTGATAGTATCTGTTAAATTAAATAAACGAAATTGTATGAGTTGAATGTATCTATAATAATAATTGGTGTATAGAACAAATAAACTATCATATTCCACCCAATCATATCTAACTTGTAGTTATATTACGTGATGTCAGTTACGGTACGTTACGTTACGTTTCGTTACGATGCGTCAGGTACGTAAACGTTAGTTATAAATTACGAGAATCGTGTTCCCTACGGTGGGACAAAAATCGATCACTGCCTTACAGGCTAGCGATAAGTTTACCGAGTATTACAGGTTATTTCCGCGTTATATTTTGTATGTTGGATAATGTGTAACCGAATTAACGTTAACTATTCCTAAATAGCCAAATTGTAAGTGAGATAACCGATATTTTGTTTGGTGTTAATGTTACTTGCGTTTTATATCCCGTTAATATTATAAATGTGAAAGTTCCGGACGATGGATGTACGGCTTCAGAACGGCTGTACCGGATCTGGAAATTTAGCACAGAGATAGATTGTAGTCTAGAAAACATTTACAAAATCTACATTAAAGCAGAGCTCCGGGTAACAGCTTGTCTATATTGACTGCCTCGGTGGTACAGTGGTAGCGTATGCGACTGATGTGCTGAGGTCTCGGGTTCGATTCCCGGGTCAGACCAAATATTTGTATGATCTGCAAATATTTGTGTTGGTGTTTGGGTGCTTTCTATGTATAATGTATGTATTTACAAAAAAAGTATATAAGTATTCTATCAGTTATTCTAGCTTTCATAGTACAGTAGTTTGAAACTAGATGGCGTTGTGTGTCAGATGTCCGAAATATTATATAGAGAAAAGTCCAGTGTTAGTATAGCAAATAAAATTATATGTTTATGGATCGGAAAGCGCGCTAATGTGAAAAGCGCATTCGTAAAAACAGATGAATCGTTTTTGAGATAGTCTTATTTACCATCGCCTGTGGCTTAGTATTCTCTGTTAAAGTATTCAATCATTTCTAAGTATAATGAAAATAGAATAACATATTCAGACATCAGACAGAGAAAAATATTAGAAATTAGTGCAGACTAAGTAATGTGAATATAGATTTTTACATCACTAATTTTGAATAGAAATCAGTATTTAATATTTTTATACATATACATTATTTGTTTATTAGGGAAAACAAAGTACCAAAACAAATACAGTCTCTACTGGTTCTCTTCTATGAGTCGCAGCTTGATGTTATAATGTATAACCTATTATATTATACATTTCAATAAACAGGGTATTTAAAACATAATATAATTATAAATCAAATGACTCCGGTAGATTCAAACATTGTAACTTATTAATTTTAGTACATTGATATAAAACAGAAAACTTAACGACCAAGTAGCATTACAACCAGACGCCTAGGTTAGGTTATAAACTAAATAATTTAAAAAAGCCGCGCCGTGGTCTGTGATATGTAGAAGATTTATAATACACGTGTAAATAGGTAATTGACTTCGAATACGCGTCTTTATTCAATTAGTTCCAAATATGATTTAATATAATACTAAGGGGCATTTTTAAATGTATTTTTATGCCTACCAAACCGAAAAAGACTTTTCTTTTATTTGTATGTTAATAAAAATGATAGTTCTGATTGAATACAGACGTGTGCCTTCCCTAAAACACTTTATTGAGAGTATAGTCCAATTTATATCTCAAAGAAAAAAAAACAATTTGGCTTTTTAGGCGGGAAAATTATGGTTTCAGTTGCGTTTTAAAACTTACCAAATAAGCTGAACTAATATAGCTTACGTAGAATAAGGTTGTACTAACAATAATATTTAGGTAATGTTTTGTTTATTATTCTATTTAAATTATTATTAAAATCGTCATTGAGAATGCGTATATTTGATGTGAGTTGTATGCGATGGTTGCAGGAAATCATCTGACGTCTTTGTGCGATGGTTACGTAACAAACGCCTATTTGCGTCATTGGCACCCAATACACATTGCTTATTTCTATAAAACTTTCAATATAGGAATTCATTTGTTATTTATATATGTTAAAATTTATTAATGGGTGTTAATTAAGTAAACAGAAGAACATTTACAAAGGAATTTAATGTTAATAAGCGACATTCGTTTGATGTGTACACTCATTTACTTATAAGTACATTGTGACTCATTGTAAGTACTATAAAAACAACGATTCAGTGCAATTAAAGTATATTATAATCACATAATTAGTGATGATATATAATATAATATGATTAACAAATGATTGATAGTAGGTGTGAGTTGCCTCTGTTTTGGAAACCTTGATCTTTTTACAAAGAGTAAGTAGTTTAGTTTAGTGGTTTAAGCGGTCGCCACGCCGCTTACTACTACGCCCGAGTGTTGTGGGTACGGTCCCCACATAGGACGACACTTTGTGTTATTCAGGAATTGTTATTCTGAGTCTGGGTGTTATTTCTGTTTGCAAATTACCCCGCGACACAGGATATATTCCTAATGCTTGAGTTGTTTTTAAAAAAAAATAGAACAAACATTCCCCTCCTCTAAAGGGGGCAGGGGCCGGGGGGGGGGCACTGTGGTGACAAAACACTTGTCTCGTGCGTCTCATCTATGAATGCGCAGCGATAATCACTTGACATCAGGTGACGTGTCTGCTATTTGACCCCTATACCATAAAAAATAGTAGTGGAATTCAGAATAAGACCTACCAGTTTAAATGACATTTGGTTTATCAATAAATACAACAACGTTAAATTTTATTTTGCTAATAACAAGTTATGCACTTCTCATTTCGGAATGATGTTGTGTTACACAGTATCCCCTTTCTTTGTGTTTTATTTATTAATATAACATACTTAAATTACGGTCACTGAGATTTTATTACCTAGAAAGTAGATAATTTGTTAAAAAGTGATACTGAATAAGTTCTGCAGGCTTCTCAAAAGGTTTTATTAAAAAAAAAACATAAAAAGCATATCGAAGTATAAAGGTGATTAGTACAATGACTATTATTGTACAGTAAGTGAAAATTGTACGCATCAAAGCTGTCGTATCCGGGAATATACCTACTAGTTTCAAGCACGTTATTTAATACATTGAATTGCTACATATCTTGTATCGATTGATTGTTAATATGTACCTTCTTACTTATATTTACTAAAATAACTGTTACTATAAGTTTGTTTTTCTATTCTAATTTAAATAGATTGTTATTAGCCTATAGTTACATGATAAGATTTTTTTTCTTGACTGTCTTTACTTACTAAAAAATAAAAGAATGCATTATTCAAAATTGGAATTGTTTTAAATTTAAATAAACTAAACCTTTGTGTTTGAAACTTTTTCAGATCTTTTCGTTACTAAACTTTTTGACTCTTTATATATCTGTCTAAAGTCTTGTGTAATTCTCTTATAAGTAAGAAGGGAATATTTATGTTCATTTATATAAGTACCTAATATAATTCATATAACTTTCTAGTATATTTATATGTAGCGTGTATATAG